CTATAAATGTAATTGACAAAACATATTACTGACAACTTGACAAAGAAAGATTTTGTTCGCTTTAGAGAAACTTTTTTTGGCTGTCTACCAGTACACATTTAAGATGGAAAAAAATCTTTAGGATAGCCATGCATCTTACAACATTGTAACTGTTAACACAGCATGTAGACTATAAATGACATAATTATGTTAAAAGTTGCCAAAGACTCAGCATATCACCTGCTTTCATGCTAGCCTGACCCTCTCTTCACTTAAATTAAGTAGAATGTTCTCTCCATCAACCAACTGGAAGGTTGGATTCCTTTAAATTTTCCCATTCAAATTAATGTTTAAAATTAATCAATGTATTTAATTTCAAAACTTAAATCCCACACCAGGTAAAATTCCACAGCTACCAATCTAAATGGATGGTTACTAATACAGTAATTATTGCAACTTTTTATTATACTGAACCAGAGACCTAGTGTTACAGAACAAGTGCAGGGCTGTTCCGTCATCCAGCTGTTTTACAAATCTTCATTCCATATCATTTAAAATTAAGAACTTGTCAACATTTGTTACTTCTGTCAAATTAGTTTGTTACTGTAATGACAAAGATTGTGCACCTTTCACTGTTAATATGCAGTCAACCTGCATTTTACATGTAGAAAACTCCCTTATATCACAGGCACAGTTATCCCATTTTAGTACTTAAGCTTTTTGCATGGAAATGGATGCACAAATCTCAACAGTGGTTACTAAATATAAAAGCTGTTATATAATGTGAAATAAATATACAGAAAAGAGAACTATTTGAAGAAGGCATAAATGCTATGCATAGATCTATATAATTTATACTTGTTTTCCTTCTCAGTTGAATTGGGAAACCTGTGACCTCAGAGTGCCTTTATTTATTACATCTCAATTATTTCCATAGAAACGTGTACTGTGGCAATTTACTGGGTTGCCAACTCCCTAGACTACAAGATGTATGTGATGGACTTTTTAAGAGCCAAAGATATGGATGAGTAAAAGAGAAGGAAGAAATTCTCTCTCACATATATGAGTTAGGACCATGTGCGTGCGCGTACACACCGTTATGAAGTGCAATGTACACAGATTCACCAAACATTTCCACCATTAATCAAGATATTCTTCAGACTGCACATTAGTCAATTAATATTAGAAAGTGTAATTTACAGTCAGTTTATGCTGGACTGGAGAAAACATTCCTAGTCATTAGAAAGGTATGCAAAACTTAGCATCTTAAAACTTACTTAGTCTTCTATAAAAACTCATTGTTGTAAATATATTTCTAGACATTTATGCTTTAGAAGGGATGGGAAATACTTTATATTGAATATTTTAATATTCAATTTAAAAAATACCATTGCAAATAATGGTGCAAACTGTACCAAGACTGAGTTCAAAATTAACAAAGTAAAACAATAATGCCTTGTGGTGAAGTCTGCCACCCAAAAAAAAAAAATGATGAAGTAGAAAACAAATTAAAAATAAATGGCAAATGTATAATTTTATTAAAAAAAAAAAAAGGGTCAAGGGTTATTGTTAAATTAGCTTTTCAAACTAATACAGTTTTTCAATGCCACTTAACTATTTCCTGTACAATACATGTGGTACTTTATCACAGAACAAAATATTTTGAACCTCCAGAGGCCTATCCACCAAATGGGATCCCCCTTTTCAAGGGAAGTCATGACCTGAGGCCTGTATGATTTTTTCATACTGCGATTCTTCTTGTTTCAAATACCATTTTCAGAACATGCACTAGAAATAGTTATACTTCTCTCCTTTTTTCCTCCTATGGTCTGTAACACTTCATGTTATGTATCAATTACAGAAGAGCTGCATTTACAGGAGATTGTCCTCAATTGTGGAGGTCCATAATACCATACTGTTAAAGTGATGCACAGCAGAAAGGCTAAAATACTATTAGTCTGTAAGAAACACATTCCAGCTTTTTGTTTAAAGGTGGAAGTCTTACTTTTACAATCACCTAATACACATCTGAGAGCAAGGATTATATAAAAACAAAATTGGGAGTGTATCTCAAAGCAAAAGCTAATATTATGGAACAGCATTTCACATGCAGTACCTCTTAAATGCATCCAGTTATTTCACTTCTTAATTACCACTATGATTAAATGAATGTATTTTCTACATCTAAAAGTTATTAAATAATGATCACTTAAAAGTTTTTGTTCCATTAAAAAACATCCAGTTTTGTGCTGCTATAACAAACACCAAACCACTAAGTTTCTGATTAACTACTTCTACTTTGTATGAGACAGTAAAATGTTAGCCAAATGTTATCCTAACCTTTCAATGGCTTTGACTAGCAAGTATTCTAAAATCACTGCTGCATTGTCACATCAATTTACTGAAAACTCAAAAAGAATGCAGTTCACACAATACAGCACATAGGTATTCTGGGCCTTGGCCTTTATTTGTACATTTTGTAGACAGCTGTTTTCTTGAAGTGATAATTATCAGATTTTTAAGTAACTAACTCTTAACTGCAAATGTTTAAATACTTTATTATGCCCTAAAGAATGACTATTTGGGATGAGTTTATTT